CCCTGAATCTTCAGTTACACCGGGAGTCGTCCCGCCTCCAACATGGTGATTATTGACGTGAAGATGGTATCCGGCTTCATTCCCCTGAAACCAACAGTGAAAATGGTAGGTCTAGCGTATGTCCAGGAGGCTCTATTTTATTTAATGTTTTAGGTATCTCTGGACTAAGAAAATATTAAAATCTTTTCAGTCACTTCTATCAAACACAAATACTTTCTCCAAAGTCAGAAATATAATATAAGATATATATATATATAACATAATATAATATAACATAAAACATCTTTGCATACAGGTTTTTTGGTGTGTGTGGTTTTTTTCCCTCATTAAACTTTGTTTTAGGGGGTCTCAAAATTCTCTGACAGATTTTTTTTTTTTAAGATTTTATTTATTTATTTGACAGACAGAGATCACAAGCAGGCAGAGAGAGAGGAGAAAGCAAGCTCCCCCGTGGAGTGGAGAGCCTGATATGAGGCTTGATCCCAGGACCCTGGGATTATGACCTGAGCTGAAGGCAGAGGCTTTAACCCACTGAGCCACCCAGCAGCCCCACTGACAGATTTTTTAGTCAAGTTGCTCCCTCTAGAAAGTACTTGTTTTTAAAACTAGTAAGTTAAAACTCACACACACACACACACACACATGCACATATGCACAAATGAATGATCCACAAAACATTCTCTCTTCCCTCTGAAGGTTTTCTGGGACATTTTTATCATTTTATCATTAACCAGTCTTCCTTCTAGACTTAAATGGCCAATTGAGACACACAGTACTGTGATCATTCTTCTATGGCTGGTTAGGACTGGGGTGGCAGGCATTAGGGATAATATTCATTGAGCCTCCTGAGCTTTCCAGGCAGACGTGGTGACCTTCCAACTCCAGCAGGCTTCCCGTCCACTGCTTTGATGACAACCACAAAGACTGTCTGTTTCATGTTACAAACAGCTCTCTTCCAAGAGCCACATCTACTAGAAGAAGAATGTCAGCAAGCTCCTGCTTTCATGGAGCTTAGACACTTAAGAAGATAAAGCTTGGGACGCCTGGCTGGCTCAGTCAGAAGAGCATGAAACTCTGGATCCTCAGGGTCATGAGCTTGAGCCGCATGTTGGGTGTAGAGGGTTACTTAAATAAATAATAAATAAAACTTTTAAAAAAAAAGAAGAAGATAAAGCTTATGCACCAGTGGAAAAAAATACAAAAATGACCAATAAACAAAAATGACCAATAAATATTAACTCTAATTATTACAGAAGTTCAGAGAAAAATGAGATTGCTGTAAGAGCAAGCAAAAAAAAAAAGTTTTAAGAAAAACCCTCCTTCATGAAGGAATAGAATGTACATTGAACATCGAAATACAGAAAATTCCCAACTTTAGGATACTTGTTTCACTTTTCTTCAGATACATCAACTTCACACATAGGTCATGTGTCCTACTAATATCCAACCCTGCATCCCAATTATGTCTCATTTTTTATGTAAAAACATTATCATCTTCACTTACAAAAATCACTTGAAGAAACTTTACCCTCAGGCTTAATTTGGTAATAAAAATTCTTCGTTTCTCTGGTTTTCCCAGAGGCTTCATCTGTTTATTAACACTTGTGATGTATTAATTTTCTTCAGCTTGAAAGATCTAACCATGTGAGCCGAACAGAAGTCAGCAACAACCATGTTTTGATTTATCTGGATAAGGTGAGAGCCCTGCCAATCTAATTGCAAAAAAATATAGGTAATATATAGGTAATAATCTCTTGAAGGGAGATATACTAATCCTATACTAAGGAAAGTGAATGAAGGCATTTTGGAGACATCGCCTCCATGGCAAAAGTTTGAGCATTCTAATATTAATTCCAGTAAATACTCTCCTCTTCTTTATCTGCAATTCATGTAAGACTATGAGAAAAAATGACTGTTATAATATGGGGATATGAATACTTCTTGGACCTCATAAACAAAAAATTCTCTGCACAATGTGTTTATGTCCATAACCTATTTTTGAAGATATCAAGTAATATAAGAAACCCAATGGTTTCTTCCTTATATTATTATATCAACATCAACATAATTGATGTTATATATTACATATTATATATATCATACCTCAGATATATCAATTATATAATTCACAGCTCAATTATTATATCAACAGTATAAAAGAGGGAAATACTGACCATTTCAGCAAGGATACACCATAAAATGATAAGATCAGTCAACCAATAAGCCAATCTCATTTTATAGTTCTTTGTTCTAACATAATTTATTCATCTTATACTTACGGACATTATATTTTACAAGTTTTGTGAAATTTTAATAAGGCTGTAATGATAGATCTTTTGTATGACTTGTTAAGCCAACACAGTATTCTACAAGATAGAGAAGTAAAACTATACCAAATCTCTGGATACGGAAAAACGAATATCGCCATTCACCCAACAAAATCATGTATCATTCACCCTTTACAAAGAGCCCATGGACCAGTATTGATCAGAGTATATGAATTGTTTGGGTTATTTAAGCAAAATTTAGGGATATTTTCATTCACCCTGGGAGCTTTCTGTGCCACTTAAGGACACTGTTAGTTGATAAAAAGTTTTTCTCTCCAAAAGTAGATGACTAATTAAACTCATTCAAAGAAGAGAGAAGAAAGCTTGTAATTCCCTTTTGCTTTCTAGGTGACAAATCAGACACTCAGCATGTCCTTCATGGTTCTGCAAGATGTCCCAGTAATAGAGCTGAAGCCAGCCATAGTGAAAGTCTATGATTACTATGAGACAGGTGAGTGTGAACAACTTTGACTTAGAAATTAAATTTCTGGCCACAAAAAATTTAGATTTGAGAAATGTGTGGGGGCAACTTATTACACTGTTCTTTAATTTTGTCCGCATCAAGTCTGACTCTTCTCTGTCTTCTATACGTATTATAGAAACTATCATACAAATACATCAACTACTAACACAGACCACCTGTAGGATATTCAGTTCCCTTTTCTTCAGATAAATCAACTGCAAAACAATGTGAGACTTAAATACATAGAACATTTGAACTGTCTTTCAGAAGTTTAGGGGAAAGAAATATACTGTATTTGAAGAGTTAACATATAAAACAGCAAGCAATGTATGAAATGAATGATGCTGATGTTTCTGATACAATTCTTCCCATAATAAAATATTTTTTAACTGACCTGTATTCCATAAGTCTTTCCCTCTCACTTCACCTAATGGTTTTGTTTTCATTCAGATGAGTTTGCAATTGCTGAGTATGATGCTCCTTGCAGCAAAGGTAAGTAATGCACTTTCCTTCCAAATGCAATCAGAACCCCTTGGCATGTCTCTTACATCCCTCCATAAAATTCTGGCTAACTATTTTTCATAAACATCATCTTGCTCACAGTGCAACTTATTATAGAAAAATGCATTTATTGGGAAAGGGCCACTGATGGTCAAACTTCACATAGTTCATAGGATTATTTGTTGGATACATATAAGTAATAAATCTCAGTTCCCACTATACTAATCAGGCCTCGTTAGACAGTATGCTACCCAGATCTGAGGGATGGAAGAGTCACTACTCAGGAAGCCCGAGTCCATCTTGATTCTCTCTTCTTTCCACTATCACAGATCATGGAAATGCCTGAAGATCACGAACGACAATGAAAACTGCTTTGCTGGGGTCCCTGTTCCACGGACTGAGGTCTCTGTGGAAGAAAAGAATTTTTGTGATCTATGAAGATTTGAAATAAACCTTTTTTTCTGGTTGATCTTTATCACTGTTTCCTCATTCATTCAATAAACATTTATTACATTTCCATATAATTCCCGTAGATTCCTGGGGTTAAAAATTCATAGAAATCAAGGGTTGAGGGACTTCAGAAAATGAAAACTATTACAGCGATGTTGGTCTAAGCAGCCTTCATTAGGGATTGCAGAGAAAGTATTGAATTATGCCCTAGGACAGTGTGAAGGGTGTTTGGTTACAGGAATACCCTAAGAAAAAGTCAGCATGCATTTTAGGACTAGAAAAGAATTTCGACATTAAAGGGAAATAATGAAATACAATGTTCGATAAGTTACATTGGGTGGCATCATCATTAGTTGGAACTTTACCTGAATAGGGGTTACATGTCCTCAGAACCAAATCTGCCATTGACTTATGCAAGTGATTTGTCAGTTAACTGTGGGTCTCAGGTTCAATAAAGGATGACAGATGGAAAATGCTTAAAGGGTGACACGTTAGAAGCAAGCTCTCTTAGGAGCACCTGAGTGGCTCAGACAGTTGAGTTCGGGACTCTTGATTTTGGCTCAGGTCATGATCTTGGTGTCATGGGATTGAGCGCCATGTGGGACTCTCTCCCTCTCTCCCTCTCCCACAGCCCTTCCCCCCGACTCTCTCTCTCTCAAAAGAAAGTGAGCTCTCTTAGAATAAAGGATATATAGGACTCAAAAGCCCAAATAAGTATGTTATATTGGAATATTTTTTTCCCCAGAACATCAAGCCAGGATCAAAGGATAGGTGTAAACTCAAGGAGGAATTCAGAGGCAGAAATCACTGTCCAGGGGCGCCTGGATGGCTCAGCGAGTTAAGGCCTCTGCCTCCAGCTCCGGTCATGATCCCAGGGTCCTGGGATAGAGCCCTGAATCGGGTTCTCTGCTCAGCAGGGAGCCTGCTTCCTCCTCTCTCTCTGCCTGCCTCTCTGCCTACTTATGATCTCTCCCTGTCAAATAAATAAATAAAATCTTAAAAAAAAAAAGAGGGACACCTGGGTGGCTCAGTGGGTTTAGCCACTGCCTTTGGCTCAGGTCATGATCCCAGGGTCCTGGGATGGAGTCCAGCATTGGGCTCCTTGCTCGGCGGGGAACCTGCTTCTCTCGCTGCCTCTGCCTGCCTCTCTGCCTGCTTGTGTGTACTCGCTTGCTCTCTCTCTCTCTCTGGCAAATAAATAAAATCTTTAAAAAAAAAAAAAAAAGAAAGAAAGAAAGAAAGTAATCAGTGTCCCCAGAATACCCAGTCTCTATATTTTCTTTGTGGTAAGTATTGAAAGCATTTATTTCTGGATGGAGGGACAGAAGCCTCAGGAGTTCACAGAGAGCTCTGGAGTTGTCCTAGGAGTCCATGTCTTCATTTGGGTTAGTTTGACTGAAGCTTGGATGGTATCAGCTAAGAACTCTCAAGGACTTTGAAGTTCAAACGTTCTTAGCTCTATCCCTGGACTGGGCAAAAGTAAAAGATAAAAGCTATCACTGAATTTCATACATTCAGGCGCCCCCCCCCCCAATTTGAATCCCAGATCACTTGCCCAGCTGCAGTAGCACAGCCGAGACCCCACACAGAAAAATTCACGGCGATGACGAGGCATGAGATTTATTCAGCACAAACTCGATAACCAGGGCCAAGCTAAATCCTTCCAAAAACATAGGGAAGAAATTATTATCCTAATGGTGAAGTGGTCAGGGACTGGGTTTCCCTCTTCTGCGAATCCTCTTCCTTCCACATTTTACATTATTTGCAGTGTCGTATGGTAGGGAAAAAGCACATGTTTTCACAGATGTGGAAAACGGAATGGACTCAAAATTCATCTCTGCTACTTAGCACCTATGGAATCTTACTCGCACTTAACTCCTCTCAAAACTCAGTTTTCTCATCGATAAGGAAATCATTATCACCCTCCACAGGTGTGTGTGAGGGTGCAAAGACATCCACCGGAAGATGTTATTTATTTGACAGAGACACAGAGAGAGAGGGAACATTGTGGAGGCAAAGAAAAACAAGACTGTACCCACCTCGAGTCTAACCCTGACATAAGTACAGCCGTCTTGACAAAACAAAAGCTGGCACTTTGTACCCCCTCTCCACTCACTCCCCTCCCCTCGGTAGTATGTGTGACATCCTCAGCCACCCGGGGCTGCCCTAAAAGAAAAACAAATAGTTAACTTGCAGAGATTACAATCCTGCAAGACAGAGTCTCCCTTGGTTTACAAATGTCCTGGAGATTTACAACAAAGAAGCTATCTTAACAATAGCCCAATTTCCAGAGGCAAATAACTCAGTTCCCCCAGCCCTAATGTTGCCCTCCCCACCATAAAACTAAAGGAGGCTGAGGCAGAAGGAAATGGAAATAAAGTTAAATTTCTTCTAAACCCAAATCTCACTAACAAGGACACTTGATAGGAGAAATGTGAAACTTTATCTCTAAACCTCCAGGATAGTGTTGAGAATCATTCCCAAGCATATGGCCCAATGATATACATCTAAAGGGTCTCACGAGAAGATTTTCAGTAATAAATAACCTTTCTCCCAACAATAACTAGCCCCGCAAGGTCCTGAAGACCTTGCTTCCAAAATTCCTTAGAGACTTACAACAGCCCCTTTGTCCTCACCCACCGCCAAGTCCACCCCTACTCTGCCTTTAAAAACTCTGACTGTAATCTGGTTCAGGGTCCAAGTCCCTACTCCACTGTGTCGGGTATACTTGGGCCCAAGCTTAAGCTTGCTGAATAAACCCTCGTATGTTTATATCGGTGTTGGCTCCTTAGCGGTCTCTCGGACGCAAAAACTCGGGCATAACAAACACAAGCAGGAGGAGAGGGAGAGGGAGAAGCAGTCTTCCCACCTAGCAAGGAGCCCGATGCGGGACTCAATGCCAGGAGCTGAGCGGCAGATGCACAAGAAGGCAGATGCACAACTAACTCAGTCATCCAGGCGCCCCAATTAAATGATGTTTTAAAGCCTGCCAGTAATAACATGATCTGTCCAAGGGAAATCTGTTCAGAAATGGGGATGCTCAAGGTTGTTTCTGAAAAATAATAATGCACTGGAAAGCAATTAACCACAAAAAAGCAAATGTGAAATGGCTTACCATCTTAAAAATTACATTTTGAAGTCCAATCATTTTCTCCAATTTCCTGTGCACAGAGTTAATAGAAATCTGAGGCTTTAAAAATATATTGGAAAATGCAAGTAATTGGGTCAATGCTCTTGTATTCATTGAGCTGGCAGAGAAGGGAGTGGGGAGATGACAAGGCAGGAGGAGGGGGTGCATCAGGCCTGAGCCTGAGCGGCTCCTGCAATGGTTAATGAAATATGACACCAAAGACACAGATAGTAAGAGAAAAAAATAAGTAAACAGAACTTTGTTAAAATTAGAAACTTCATGCATCAACGGACACTTTCATTTTTTTATTACTTTTTTAAGATTTTATGTATTTATTTGACAGAGATCACAAGTAGGCAGAGAGGCAGGCAGAGAGAGAGAAAGGGGGAAGCAGGCTCCCCCAACGGATGCTTCCAAAGAGTGAATAACGACCCACACAATGGAGGACAATATTTGCAAATCACTTATCTGATAAGAGTATGACATCCAGAATATAGACAGAACTATAAATCAACAACAAAAACAGAACCCAGTTTAAAAACATCAAAATTGGGACACCTGGGTGGCTCAGTCAGTTAAGCGGCACCTTCGACTCGGTCATAATCCCAGTGTCCTGGGATCGAGTCCCACATCAGTCTCCTCGATCGGCGGGGAGCCTGCTTCTCCCTCTGCCTCTGCCTGTCACTCTGCCTGCCTGTGCATGCTCTCTCTCTCTCTCTCTGACAAATGAATAAACATAAAATCTTTATAAATAAATAAATTAAAACGTCAAAGCACTTGAATAGAGATTTCTCCAAAGAAGATACAAAAATGGCAAATACGTACACAACAGACACTCAACACCATTAGTCACCAGGGAAATGTAAATCAAAACTACAATGAGATACCTCTTTAAGCCTACCAGGATGAAAAATTTAAAAAAAAAAAAAGGAAAATAACAGTCGTTGCCCAGGATGTAGAGAAATTTTAACCCTTATATATTGCTCCTAAGAAGGTAAAACCCATAGCCACTAGGAAAACGCTTAGTGATTCCTCAAAAGATTAAACACTGAATTACTGTATGATTCAACAACTCCACTCCTAAGGACCAACTCACCCCAAAGATCTGAAAACAGCAGCTCAAACAGATACTCGTCCACCCCTGTTCACAGCAGCATTATTCACAATAAGGCAGAAGTCGCGCGTCCATCATCAGATGAATGGAAAAACAAAATGTGCTGTATACTTGGGCTGGAACATTATTCAGCCATAAAAAGAATGAAGTTCTGGTACACACTGCAACTGCAGGAAACTTGAAGACATTATGCCAAGTGAAGTGAGCCAGACGCACAAGGACAAAAACACTGTCTGATTCCACTTGTATGAAGTTATCTAGAAGAGGCAAATTCACAGACAAGAGGTAGATTAGGGGCTACTGGGGGCAGGTGGAAGATGGGGGGTGTGGCTATTGCGTAGTGAGTAGAGAGTTTGTCTTATGTCTTAGGAATGATGAAAAGGCTTCTTTAGGGGCACCTGGGTAGCTCAGTCGTTAAGCGTCTGCCTTCGGCTCAGGTCATGATCCCAGGGTCCTGGGATCAAGCCCCAAATCGGGCTCCCTACTCAGCGGGAAGCCTGCTTCTCTCTTTCCTACTCCCCCTGCTTGTGTTCCCTCTCTGGCTGTCTCTCTCTGTCAAATAAATAAATAAAATCTTTAAAGGAAAAAAAGAAAAGAAAAGGCTTCTTCAGAACTAGTAGGAATGGTTGCACAACATTGCATATGTAATTAATGCCACTGGGTTGTACATTTAAACAATGGTTAAAATGGAAAATTTTATACTGACATTTTTTCCACCAGTTTTTGAAAAACAAAAAAATAGAAACCACAATTTGGATATTGAAATGTAATAAAATGTAGTATTGCACAATATAACACTATAGGGCAGCTAAAATGAATTATCTGTCTCTTTATACGTAGCAACATGGCTTGTGAAACACTACAACTGGGAGAACATAGCAAATTTTAGACTGACTATATGCATAATGCTACCGTTATAGAGAAAAAACACACAGCCGTGAGTTTTTTTCTCTTGAGATACATAGATGGATGTAAAACAGTGATTTTTTTTTTTTAAGATTTTACTTATTTATTTGACAGAGAGAGAAATCACAAGTAGGCGGGGAGGGGGGGGCGGGGAACAGGCTCCCCGCTGAGCAGAGAGCCCGATGAGGAGCTCGATCCTAGGACCCTGGGATCATGACCTGAGCCAAAGGCAGAGGCCTAACCCCCTGAGCCACCCAGGTGCCCGGTGATTTTTTTTTTTTTTAACTCTAAATATCTCTCTGGAGAGTGTGGAAGACAGCAAATGGAGGGTAGTCACAGAGAACTTTCTCTTCACTTGTAATCATCTTTTTTTTTTTTTTCTAAGTATGCTTTCTATGCTTTTAAAAGAATGGAAAGAAAACTTCCCTGGAGAGAAACAAAATAAATTAACAGTGGATATTTCTAAAACGGGAAGTAGAAGAGTAGGGCTGATGAATGGAAGCCTTTTTTATTTTTCCTCTTTAATCTTCTGCATTTTTACCCAGTGTGTTTCATATGTTACTTTTGTCAGTTTTTAAATGCTGAATGGCTTCCCCACGTTACAAGCAATATTTAAGACTGAGACATTGTTATTACTACACCTGTGAAGTGTGATTATGAATTTATCTCTGATTTTTTATTGGAACATTCAGAAACTCTTCTTCTATTAGATGAAATTCTTAATTCTTTACACATAAATGGCAGATTTTACCCAGCTGGGGCAAGGAAAGAGAGAACTCAGCAAAATCAATGGGAAGTTTATGGGATCCCTTAGGGAAAAAAGTAAATTGATTTGCATTTAAAATGTCCAGTGAGGGGGCGCCTGGGTGGCTCAGTGGGTTAAGCCTCTGCCTTCAGCTCAGGTCAAGATCCCAGGGTGCTGGGATCGAGGCCCACATGCGGGGGGGGGGGGGGGGGTGTCTCTGCTCAGCGGGGAGCCTGCTTCCTCCTCTCTCTCTGCCTGCCTCTCTGCCTACTTGTGATCTCTCTCTCTCTGTCCAATAAATAAATAAAATCTTTAAAAAAATAATAATAAAATAAAATAAAATGTCCAGTGAGTCAGTTTGTTTAATTTGCCTTACAACCCAGAAAAAAGTTGAAAACAATAATAAAGCCTGGGTTTGGATTCCAGGCGTTGTCAGTTTGTGTTTGTTTTTAGCTCTCTATAACTGACCGGATGCTTGTGGACTATCACAAAAGATGTCTTTCATGCATCCTTAAAAAAAAAAAAAAAAAAAGGCAAGATGGAGAGATATTAAAACTCCCCTAGTCAAAAATTT